AGTAGCTGGGACTACAGGCATGCGCCACCATGCCGGCTAATTTTTCTATTATATATTAGTTGGCCAATTAATTTCTTTCTATTTATAGTAGAGACGGGGTCTCGCTCTCGCTCAGGCTGGTGTCGAACTCCTGACTGAGCAATCTGCCCGCCTCGGCCTCCCAGAGTGCTGGGATTACAGGCGTGCCTGACCAAGAATTATCCTCTAGAGGCAGCTGGGCAGGGTGGCTCCCACCTGTAATCCCAGCACTTTGGGAGGCCGAGGTGGGAGGATCACTTGAGGCCAGCAGTTTTAGACCAGACTGAGCAAGCGCGAGACCCCATCTCCACTAAAGAAAAAAAAAAATAGAAAAATTATCCATGCCTGGTGGTATGTGCCTGTAGTCCCAGCTACTCGGGAGGCTGAGGCAGGAGGATCGCTTGAGCCCAGGAGTTGGAGGTTGCTGTGGGCGAGGCTGACGCCACGGCACTCTAGCCCAGGTGACAGAGCAAGACTCTGTCTCAAAAAAAATGCTCAACATCACTCATCATCAGGGAAATACAAGTCAAACCACAGTGAGATATCACCTTGCCCCAGCTGGAATGGGCTGTGACTAAAAACACAAAAAATATCAAGTGCTGGCCGCGATACAGAGAAAAGAGAACTCTATACGCCGTCGCTGGGAATGTGAGTTGGTACTCTATGGAAAACGGCATGGAGATTTCTCAAAACAACTAAAAATAGAAATACCGCTCGATCCAGCAATCCCACTACTGGGTATTTGTCCAGAGGAAAAGAGTCATTCTTGGTCAGGCACGCCTGTAATCCCAGCACTCTGGGAGGCCGAGGCGGGCGGATTGCTCCAGGTCAGGAGTTCGACACCAGCCTGAGCGAGAGCGAGACCCCGTCTCTACTATAAATAGAAAGAAATTAATTGGCCAACTAATATATATAGAAAAATTGCCGGCATGGCATGGTGGCGCATGCCTGTAGTCCCAGCTACTCGGGAGGCTGAGGCAGGAGGATCGCTTGAGCCCAGGAGTTTGAGGTTGCTGTGAGCTAGGCTGACGCCACGGCACTCACTCTAGCCTGGGCAACAAAGTGAGACTCTGTCTCAAAAAAAAAAAAAAAGAGTCATTCTATCAAAGGGACACCTACCCCCACGTGTGTTGTAGCGCCATTCCAAGGGGCACAGATACGGAACCCACCGTGTCCACCCCAGACCGCTGGACACCAGAGGCCGAGAAGGGGGTGTGTGGTAGGGGGGGTTGGAGGGAGGTTGGTTATTGGCACAGATATGCAGTTAGAAAAAAATTAATGCTATTGTCCCATAGCTGACTAGGGTGACGATATTAGCAACAATGTATCGTATATTTCAAAGTACTACACCAGGGACTTGAAATGTCCCCAGTGCAAAGATGAGATAAATGCCCAGGCAGTGGACACCTCAGGGACCCTGCCCTGCTCGTTTACAGAGTCTGTACTTGCAACAAAACGTCACACGGACCCCGAACATATGTAAAATATTCTGTAGCAATTAAAAAGATCGACTTTTTTTGAAAGAACACATTCTCTGAGGTCGAGTCCTCGAGATCTTCCCCAGCTCACCTCCTGTGAGTCCCATTTTGCAGACGGTAAAACTAAGTCAAAGCTCGAGGAGAGGTGGCCCCTCCGGCGTCTCCAAGCCGTTAACGCTAAACAACAAAGGCCTGGCTTTGAACCCGGGTTGCCGCCGTCCGGGGTCCGCCCTTGACCTTGGAGGCAGCGCGCATCCCCTTGAGACGACGGATCATTGCTGGGATCTAGTAGTGGATAGAAGGGTGGTGATTATGGAGGTCCCAGTCTCGCCGTTTTTTTTTTTCCCCTTTGAATTTCCGGGCCCCTAAACAGCCGGTCAGAGGTGACAGCCTCAGGAGATGGACACACACGTGTGCCCCGGCAGAAAATATTAAAAACAAACCAGTCGCATTTACCCAGGTGCCTGTTAGGGGCTGGGCACTGATATCACTTCAGACCTCGCCGTAACTTCGCAAGGCAGGAAGTGGCACCCACTGCACGGATGGGAACAGTGAGGCAGCGACTGGCCCCGGGCTGCCTTGCTGGGGAGGGGCGGTGTCGGGACTGGACTCGGGCCTCTCGGGCCACCCTGCCTTTCTCCCGGGGACTGGGTCTGGAGTGGCGAATCGGGCACGTGTGGCCGAAGACATCGGCCTCTCCTCCCGATGGGGCAGGGCTGAAGGCCCCAGCACGGAGACAGCGGGACTGAAGGTGTGGACGTGACACTTGTCACTAGCAGGGAGGCAGGGACGCCACCACGTGGGCCTGGAGGACAGAGCTCTGAGCCAAAGAGGATTATTCCCAAGCTTTCAAATCGAATGGAATCTGCCCTAAAAACAGACAGACAGAGAGTCGAATGGCTCGTTCCCTGCCAGGTCGCAGGCCGGCTCGGGACTTGTGACCTCCTTCTTCCTTCCGATGTCACCTGTGGCGACGGGGGCGAGCAGCCGCGCCCGCACCGCGCCGGAGATGCCTGCGTCTCCGGTGGCGTGCCGGCTGGTCCCCCAGGAGTTTCCCCGCAGGATGGCTCCTGCCTGGGGCTCACCTGCACCTGGTTTAGGTGACAGTTACGCGGGACTTTGGACTTGAACTTGACACTGGAGTGGGCGACCCCTCCCCCCAGGACGCTGAGGGGGGGGCATCAGCGTGAACTCGTCTTGCAGCGGGAGGATGTGGGTTTCGGGGGAACCCGCGGGCACAGTGCTCTGGGCTGAAATGTGTCCACTCAAATTCGTAGGTCACAGCCCTGACCCCCGGGACCGCAGAACGTGGCCTTATCTGGAAACGGGGTCGCCGCGGGTGGAATTGGTTACGATGAGGTCACACGGGAGCAGGGTGGGTCCGTGAGCCAGTGAGGACTTGACACAAGGGGAGATTTGGATGCGACAGGCACGCGGGGAGCACGAGGGACATGGAAGCAGAGATGGGGTGACCCGTCTGCACGCCAGGGGATGCCCAGGATGGGCCACCACCGGGGGCCGGGGAGGCCAGGCACAGACCCGCCCTCACGGCCTCAGGAGGAACCAGCCCCGCGCACCCCGTGACCTTGGCCTCGGGCACTGGGGGAAAGTCCGTTGTTTCTGTCGCCTACGCGGCCGGCTGCGGCCCCTACGGCAGCCCCAGGACACGGACTGGCGGTTGCTGGGCACAAACTGGGGGCCTGGTGACTGTCCCCCTCCTGCCTCGCCCAGGCTGGCTCTGCCACATCCAGGCCTCCCCCTCGCCCTCCCTGCTCCGCCCGTCCCGGGGACGGGGCTCTGGGGTGACAGGCCGATGCGGCTCTGCCCCAAGCACTCATGGGACAGTGACGTGGGCACTTCCTTTCACTTGCTGGTGCCCGAGACACGGGAGAGGAGGGGACGGGAGCTGGTCACCCGGTAAATCCCGCACAGGCCTAAGGGCTGGGCGGCCGGTTGCCTCCTCGGAGCCCCCCTTGGAGCCACCGTCCCCAGTGTCTGGACACCTGGAACCTCAGGGCTGGGCCTCCCAGGGCGCCCTCCCCCGAGCTGACTGTGTGCCCGCACCCCCGGGAACACTTCCCACCTATCGCCTCATTTGATCCTTACATACCCCCTCTGCGGGAAGATCACTACCTGCATTTGGTAGATGAGGCGTTGGAGGCACAGAGAGGTTGAGTGATCAGCTCAAGGACACACAGCAACGCAGCACGCTGTCTTTGTGACAGTGCTCTCACTGGCCCTGCCGGGACCGTTTGCCCTGCAGGTCTCAGGCCAGAACGTCCTACCCAGCGTGCGTGTGGCCTCTGCTCTTCCCGTGGTGACAGCCCGGGCAGAACTGGCACCTGGGAACAAGGGGCCCGCACTGCGCAGGTGGAAACTTACAGGACGTGTCTCCCGCCGGGCTGCCGAGCAATTCCATCCCCGTCTCCTCTGGGAGCGGCCTGCAGACGCGGCATCACGACAGGCACCGCCAACCCGGCCCAGGCCACCACACGGGTCCAGCCACACGCGTGCAGACAAAACAACAGCGACAAAACTCAGTTAGTTCTGGGGATCACGGGCCCACATGTTGACACATTTCTTTCTTAGCATGAAAAACTCATAAAACATCAGCGCCGGAGGCTCCTTTCAGTTATCAAGTGAGTATTAAGCCTTTTGAGGCCGGGAAAGGTGACTCACGCCTGTAACCCTGGCACTCTGGGAGGCCGAGGCGGGAGGATCGCTCGAGGTCAGGAGTTCCAGACCAGCCCGAGCAAGAGTGAGACCCCGTCTCCACTAAAATTAGAGGAAATTAGCCAGGCGTAGTGGCCCGTGCCTGTAGTCCCAACTACTGGGAGGCTGAGGCAGGAGGATCGCTTGAGCTCGGGAGCTCAAGGTTGCTGTGAGCCAGGCTGACGCCACGGCACTCTAGCCTGGGCTACAGAGCGAGACTCTGTCTCAAAAAAACAAAACCAGAAAAAGAGTCAACCATAAGAACTCTCCATCAATGCTGGAATGGTTTGAGCAGCTCCATAAATAATGAAATACTGGATTATAACCCAAAGTATAAAATAAATGTCTATGAGCCTGTACTGGTATAAATAAATGATTGCATAAATAAATAGGGAAGAAGAGACATATTTCCGTGCAGAAGGATTGCAAATAATTCATGTAGATATCCACCCTCAAGGAGACAACTCCCTGCTATTTAAGTACCAGCTGCACACGGTGACGTCATTCCAAAATGTGCAGCGTAGAGTCCGGGCGAGGTGGCTCATGCCTGTAATCTCAGCACTTTGGGAGGCCAAGGCAAGAGGGTCTCCTGAGGCCAGGAGTTTGAGGCCAGCCTGGACAACATAGCAAGACCCCATCTCTACAAAAAATTAAAAAATTAGCTGGGTGCCTGTAGTCCCAGCTACTCGGGAGGCTGAGGCAGGAGGATTGTTTGAGCCCAGGAGTTGGAGGCTGCAGTGACCTGTGATCGCACCACTGCACTCCAGCCTGGGTGACAGAGCGAGACCCCATCTCTAAGAAAAAGAAAAGACAAAGGAAGTCTGAATCAAGTGTGGGTCAGTTACAATAACGTATCCGTCTTGCTCCATTCATTGTGACAAATGTACTCTGCTAAGAGAAGATGTTAATCACAGGAGAAACCGGGTGCAGAGCGCTCAGGAACTCTCTGTGTGAAGTTTGCAACTTTTCTATAAATCGAAAACTGTTCTCAATAATAAAGCTTATTTTGAGAAACGCAGGGCTGGGCGCGGTGGCTCACGTCTGTAATCCCAGCACTCTGGGAGGCCGAGGCGGGAGGATCGCTCAAGGTCAGGAGTTCAAAATAAGCCTGAGCAACAGCAAGACCCCGACTCCACTAAAAGTAGAAAGAAATTAATCGGCCAACTACAAATATACATAGAAAAAACTAGCCAGGCATGGTGGCGCGTGTCTATAGTCCCAGCCACTCGGGAGGCTGAGGCAGGAGGATCGCCTGAGCCCAGGAGTTTGAGGTTGCTGTGAGCTAGGCTGACGCCACGGCACTCACTCTAGCCTGGGCAACAGAGTGAGACT